TAGGGCAGCTCATCTAGCATTAGACCTCTAATGGTATTTAAGATTTGTGTGTGTATGAACCAATAACCTTGAGTGTGCTATGCTTTTCTGCCTAACAACCCCACCTACCATGTTTGATACAAATTGCCACCTGATAAACTTTTTTGTTATATGCATTTCATGACCAATTTCAAGTGCTAGACTCATTCATAATCATGTTTATGACTTGTATGTGGCTTCTCTTTGATCTTATTATGTTCCAATTATGATATGTGTTAATTTGTGCATTTTTATGCCTAAATGAGCAGCTGGCCTGTAAATTCCATTTTTATGATGTTGGTGAATATTTTTGAAGTATAGACACACCTTATATGATGTTTTGAGGATGTATACAGGGTCTGTTCATTCCAATTATGTGTGCTTTTTGATCTAGCTTTCAAACTTGCATTTTTTCTCCAATTTTCACTTGGCATAGCATAACAGTTGTGTTTTTTGTGTTTGTGATTAACATTGTGATGGTTATATGTGTGTTACTCATTGCATTTCAAGTATGCCTCACGATGTTCTTGTTTTGATTGATCAAGTTTTAATGTATGCATCCATGTTGGCCTGTTTCTCTAGTTGTCCATTTGCTGTCAAATCTGTACCTTGCTTCTTCCTTCTGCCAAAGTATTTGTTTTTGGTTTGTAAACTTTAAGCACATCATCATTAACATGAGTAAGACTGTTAGGCCATATATGTATGATCATATCTTCCATCTGTTATAACAGCCTGCTTGATTTCTCATGTTATCTTTGCAACTCATGTACCATTTCTTATTCTTTTGAGTTATGCTTGAGCCTTAAGTGATCAATATTTCTGTTATGGTATATATGTGTTGTGTGCAATACCTTTTACATGTATATGAACTCAGATTTGATAGTAGTTTTCAAAATGAAACTCAAATGTGCATCTTGCATCTTGCATCGTGTTTTTAGTTGGAGGCATTATTTCAAAATTTCATTGGCACTATCATGATCCTTGTTAAAAAACAGTCTAGTTAGGCTAAAATTTCACCAAAAAAGACCAAGTATTGACATAGTTATGAATCAAAACGCATGTTGCATCTTCACTTGTTCTTGCTTCCTAAGCCTGCCCAGAAAACCATGAAAACATACCTTTTGTATTTATGGGGGTGGATTTGTACTTGGATGTACAGCCACCCCAGTGGTAATCAACTTGCCCGCATATTCACCTTTCACTTGCCAGCCATGAGTTCGATCCTTGGGATCAACTCTTTTTGGGCATTTTATTTTTCATTTGTAATTGAATCATTTTCTTCTTTGCTTCCATTTTCATTACCAGCGTGCGTGTGGTGCCCAAGTGGTTGTTGTTGTGTGTTTGTAAACACAAGGGCATGGGTTCAATCCCCACCCATGTCACTTTCTTTTTTATATGTGTGTTTGTTTATTTTATTGTCATAAAATCATTAAAACTTCAAAATTTCATAACTTGTTCATCGCGCGTTATTTTCAACCCATTCTTTTTGCAACTTTTTCATTGTGATGTCTAGTTATATTAAATGGATTGTAATTTCATAGTTGCTTGTTTTTACAATGCTTTTTGTCTGCTTGTTAGTAGATTCGTCCTTAAGTCATTACCTTACGTCTCGATTAAATTTCCCTTATACAATGATTATTTTATCTTGTGAGATTTATTGGTATTTGACTTCTTTATGTTTGTTAACATGTTGATATTTCATTTTCTTGTTGGTTGTTACCATAAATTATTGTTCCTTTCCTAAAATCTTGAGTTTAACTGTTGCGATCGTTCCTTGCGTATTTGATTGTCATCAATGCCTAAATGTTGTTACCTTTGATACACTTTGAATTTATAACATGATCCTTTTAAGTTGTGACTTACTTGCATGATTATTGTTTCCATCTTTGTTAAGATATTTGATTATCGGTCGTAACCATCTGTTTTATTGGATCCTTGCTTATTGTGATATGCATGCTTACCTGATTGTAATCTTATTCATCTTGCTTAATTGTTCATTTGCTTTGTTAAGTATTGCTTCTCCAAGTGATGAAACTTTTTAGTTTTCATCTAAGTTGCCTCTCTCTCCCTCATTCCAAAGGAAAAGTCTCTCCCTTGACCCTTGTGTCATTGGATAGTTCATTACCCTGCCTTGACTTTGTGAAGTCATCTTCAACCCTAGCTTAGTTAAGTTAGAACATATAAGCCTTAGACTTTGCCTTAAGTCTAAAAGAACCACCTTCACTAGGAGTATTCTTCAACTAGAACCAGGATAGAGTTTGTAAAATCTATGTAAGAATCATAGTAATGATTACTTCCCCCCCTCTTGAGTGTTATAACATAGATCTAGAGAGTTTTGTTAAACTCTATACAAGCATTGTTATGTTTGTTCCCTCTTGGAACTTTGATCATAATCAAATGTTCTTCAACCCTAGTGAGGTGAACTACGGTTGCTCTGATTCTATCATAGTTAGGATACATAGCCAGAGGACGCGATGTCTTTGCGAGCAAGCTTAGAAACTACCTTTAGGTTTTAACCTACACCTTTTACCCAATCTCAATCCTTAGCAAACATTTACCAACTTAGAATGTAAACAAACAAAAGGTTCTTGTAGAGTACTACAGATGTTTAGGATGTGAAATACCTACCCTATGCATAACCAACCCCCCGATCCCTGAATCTCTTAGCGTTGTTGTTACATCGCGAAAAAGGTTTTTCTTTCTTTAGACCTTTCCTTTGGATAAATTAAAGTCCGGTTGTGAATTTAAGAATTTAAGATTCAAGTTAATCAATAGCTTGGTATCACGATTCTCGCCGCGACAGTTACCAGGTGGAAGAACAACTCATTCTAAATTTAAGATTTCAGTCCCTACTTTGGAATCTTCCATTTGCAACATTGACAAAAAAGATGATCTTGCTGATCTTTTAAAGTTGACTGATCTAATCATATGGGATGAAGCTCCTATGGCTAAAAATTTTTGCTTTTAGGCTCTTGACAAATATTTGAAGGATATTCTGAGTATTAATGGAGAAGCGTCCCAAAACATTTTTGGAGGGAAGGTTGTTGTTTTTGGTGGTAATTTCAGACAAATTCTTCCTGTTATACCAAGAGGTACTATATCAGATATTATTCATGCAATCATCAATCCTTCATATATTTGGGATCGTTGCAAGGTACTCAAACTTACAAAAAATATGCGCTTGCAAAATGGAGCAACGACAAGTACCACAGAGGATATTCGAATTTTTTCTGAGTGGATCTTAAAAATTGGAGATGGGACAATGTCTGAACCAAATGATGGTTATGTTGAGATTACAATTCCCCAAGAGTTTCTTATTTCTAATTTTACAGATCCTATGAAGGCTATTGTTGAAAGTACCTACCTCGATCTCATTCATAACTACCATGATTCCAATTACCTTCAAAGTCGTGCAATTCTGGCTTCAACTATTGAAGTAGTAGATGATATCAATGAATACATCACAAGTTTTTTGTCAGGTACTATTCATGCTTTCATACTATATTTAATTTAGTAACTTCTGTATTTCTATTATTTATCATTGACTGCGAATATGTTTTTCTTTTATGTTTTAAAGGGGAAGAAAAAGAATACTTCAGTAGCGATTCTGTAGATAGATCTGAAGCAACTGACTTTGATGCATTTGAACACTTGAGACCTGAATTCTTGAATGCTCTTAAAACATCTGGATTGCCTAATCATTTAATAAAGTTAAAAATTGGGACCACAATTATGTTGTTGCGTAATTTGGATCAATCTGAAGGATTATACAATGGTACACGAATCACTGTAACAAGGCTTGCTAATCATGTCATTGAAGCTAAGATCATTTCTGGAAACAAAATATTGGTAACATCATTTATATTCCAAGAATGTCTTTATCTCCCTCACAATCACCATGGTCTTTTAAATCGGTGAGCAAATAATTCCCAATTATTGTTTCTTTTGCTATGACAATTAACAAATCTTAGAGTCAATCTTTACAACGTTGGTTTATACTTACCAAAAGATGTTTTTAGTCATGGTCAATTGTATGTCGCACTTTCTAGAGTTAGGACTAAGGAAGGTCTTAAGATTTTGATTCATGACAAACATAAACAGGTTATGCATACTACCACTAATGTTGTCTTCAAGGAAGTTTTTCACAATATCTCATAGGTATTTTAATGCAGACTGTTTTGTATCATTTATTGTCTATTACAAATGGTATTGTGAGTTTACATCTAATATATATGTTTTTCTATACAAGTTGAAGACTTTTGTTCATTAAGGAGATTGATGGTTCACAATCTTTTTCTGTACAAGTTGAAGACTTTTGTTCATTAAGGAGATTGATGGTTCACAATCTACCCAATATCATGAATGATTGTAACACACTTGTATTCTTTTATTTTATTTTTTGTCTTTTCTTTTTTCTTTGACATTCTTACTCAATTTAACTACTATATTTTGTGTTTATATATTGCAAATTATTTATTCTTTTCATTTTTTTTCAAAGTATAGCCGTATTTATTGGTACATGAAAGATATTTGATTTTTTTAAAAGATACGAAACCATAAACTTTATGAAGATCATATTAACATAATTTCATTTTTTATTTCTTTTTATTTTTTCCTTTTTTATAATTTTAAAATTTTATTTATTTTATATAATTAAGGATCATTACACAATTACATTTATGTTTTCATATTTATATGTACACACAAATAAATTATTTATCAACTGAACCCGTGCGTCCAATTATTTATCAACTGAACCCGTGCGGAACGGGTGTTTTACTAGTATATATATTATCTAAAAAAAATGAAACAAATGGTGTATGGATTGAGTGGTACACGTTTTTAAAGTGTCTCACCTCACACATTAAAATAGTGGCGTCATATATATAACCTAACTGATGAGACAGTGCGTGCGAGACTCAGTTGTGTTGTAATAAGGAAACGAGAGAAGACACCGATAGAGAGAGTGAAGTGTGAGAGCGATGTTTTTGAAGGATAACAATACTAACAATACTAACGGCTACCACCATCAACCACCACCTCCACCACCGGAAATGGTGCATAATCACATCAACAGAGACAGAGCCCGTCGTGTCAGTCGCCGCTCACGTGTTTCCACCTCTAATTCCCTTGTTAGGGTTTCCGATACCGTACAACCTCAACATCTACAACAGTCTAATCGATCTCCTTGCACAGATTACGATATGGCGTATTTTCATTCCTATGCTCACCTCGGTATTCATCAAGAGATGATCAAGGTATTAATTCTACCACTATACCACTATTAAGTTACTTTCTTCTTAGCGCGAACTTTCACCTATACCTGATATTTGAGAAATTTGAATGTCATAAACCCTAGGACCTCTTTGTTCTTACTTCTTAGAGCTAGCTTTCACCTTTCCTTTTACACATACAGAATTTATAGGGGAATGTTTCAATAATTAAGAATACAATTTATATGAGTGACTTGAATATCTTCCAATTTTTAAACTCCTTTCCATTATGTATGTTTTCTCTCTTTAATTCTAATGAACACAGTTCATTAATTTTCGTATCTACGGTGATAAAATGTGATACGCGATTTTGGCTACCTTGGTTAATTTGATCTCTGGACTTGTCCTTATAAATTAAAAATTAATTGTATGGTGTACTTCAAATTGATTAACATATATGTTGAGGATAATGTACCTCATCCTCTAATTCATTGCAATTTCTTCACTTTTGTAACTTCTTTTTGTTTGCAAAAGTAATCTTTTTTATTTTGTTGTTTCCTTTTCTTGCCCTGGTTTGGTACAGGATCGTGTGCGGACGGATACTTATAGGGAAGCAATCATGCGGCATCAGAGTCTTATCGCTGGCAAAGTAATTTCTATATCACATAGGAGGAATTTTAGTATCAAACGTTAAACTCGAATTTCCATATATCGGTTTGAACTCTTGCAATATTATAAGATCAATAATGGCTGTTAACTTCACATATGATACTTAAATTAATGCTTAATTGTTATTACAACACTTGGTTAAAAAAGAGGGCTTTCTACAACTCCAAGTGAATTAGGTAGCTTATCGAACCATCTTGAGGGCCTCTTGTTGGGGGTTATGTTTGTTATACAGTTGATAGGTTAAACATATGCCACATATTGGAATAAGATATACCTATTGACGAGTCTTTCATGATTTGTTTTTTTTTTTTTTTGTGTTGTTTGCATATATTTTGTTAAATATTCTGTTATAGTAGCGACACTATACCTCTATAGCGTAGCGAAATTTGGACAAACTGCTGTTATTCCGTATTACGCAATTTAGTATAAAATATTGTCAAATAGCCGATGTAACGACGCTATAGCACTATCGCATAGCGAAATTTTAACAATCCAGTTCATTCTTGCTTTTCATGTTCCTCTGTCCTCCTATATCATTCCTCTCTTTTTGCCCTTAAGTATTGTTTGTCTTCAGGTTGTAGTTGATGTTGGGTGCGGTACAGGAATCCTTTCTATATTTTGTGCTCAGGCTGGTGCAAAGCGGGTAAGCTTTTTTAAATTGATATTGGTATACTCTTTTTGTTGATATGGAAAGAATGATATTATATGTTTTGTTACAAAATGTATTTTTCATTTAAATAAAAGTAAATATTTTTTTTTGTAAATCCTTTATTTTGAGTTTTAGCTCCCTTATGTTATTTAATATGATCTGGATGCTGTGGCTACCATGGATAGATTGCTTTTCTGCCTTGTATTTGATTTAACTTTTATTCTTCTCTACTCCTTTTGTTTAATATTTTTAACATCTGGAAAATCATGGGTACATTTATTTATATTTTTGTGTGACTTACACTCTTTAGATTAAGACTTTCTGTAACAGTATTTTTTGAAGCCTGTCTTTTGTTTTCATAATTAAGCTTTTAATCTAGTTGTTTCAACCTATTATTTCAAAGTGTTTGACATGATGGGATTGTGGAATTTTATGTTTCCAGGTGTATGCAGTTGATGCCAGTGACATTGCTCTGCAGGTAATAATTTCAAAGATACAGTTTTCATTGGTATACACATTATTTATTTTTTCAAAAATAAAAAAGTTAGGGGGAGGGCATGGTGCGTTATTTAGTTAACATGGATAAGCCCTTATACAACAACAAGAAGCTAAATTGTACCCAATTCACTATGTGACTAATTGTATACTCTTACAACAACAAGCCCTTATACAAATAGAGTAGAACAAGAATATTCTTTTCTGTATGTTCTACCCAGTTCTTGCTACCGCGTGCTTGACACATTCAATAGGTCTTCCTCTACCTCTTTTGGTTGGAATATTTTTCAATTGATCTACTTTCGTGGACTCAAACCTCATCTTTCATGATAGGATTAAACACATACGCATTGATTTCCATCTCATCAGAGAGAAGATTCATTTTGACACCATTAAAACCTCTTCAATGAGCTTCAATAATCAGTTGACTGATATCTTCACCTAATCTCTATGAAGAACCTCAAATTGATTTTATGTGTAACAGTTTCCTACTTTTCCTTATTTTGAGGGATTCTCTCCTGTATATATATTTTGTACAGCTTTATTGTGTAATGCAATTCAGTCATTCTAAATTGTTCAAGTGACTTAACTCTACTTTGATACCATATTAGAATTTAGGCTTTGGGCTTAATTGAATCCCATGAAACCATCTGATATGACGAGGCTTGCCTATGCTTTTTAAACTCTTTCCAAACCATATCTCTACTTCGGGTTTTCTATTATAGTTATTTCTCTTTTACAAGTTTAATGGTAGAGTTTGCCATTACAAAAAGGTTGTTTATGATGATTAATAGCACTTTTTACCTTGTGTTATTGGTTTAAATTAGTTATTTTCTCTTGCAAACAGGCAAATGAAGTTGTTAAAGCAAATAACCTTTCTGATGTTGTCATTGTATTGCATGGACGAGTTGAGGTAGGCTCCTCTTCTGAGCAACATGTTTTTCAATCATTGAAATATGCTATGGCTTAGAATCTTGACACAGTTTGACCACTATAATGTCCAAACCATTTAGTAAAATGATTGAAAATTAAATTGCAGGATTTGTTATTAAGATACCAAAATAGTTGGTGCTAATTAGTGAGTTTCCTGTTCACTATTTGATTAAGTAAATAGTTGAAAAGGAGAGTGTCTATCGCAAGGAAATTGATTCCAAAACTAAATAGTTGTTATGACTCAATCATGAATAAAATCGGCAAAAAGATAAATACAATAAAAACAGGAAGGCTAATAAAACTCATTTTGATTCATGAAAAGGAAATGAACTTCAAAATTTACATCACTTGTTTAGGCTATAAATCATATGACTCATCCTTGAAATTGTGAAACAAAAGTTAGCTCATAATGGAAACAACAAATATATGGCATCTCTGAATAAAGTTTGAAAAAGAAAAAAGAAAAATGATGACAAAACTAGACTTAAGATAATTGAATCTCTTCGCGTCAATGTTTGGAAAATTATGATGGTCAAGCTTTTCAAAAGATAAAATATTGTTAATGCTATCTGTCTTTTTTCCTCCTTGAATAGCTCTTCTTGTTTCTTCCTTTTCTTTCTGTTCTGTGTGGACCGTGTCACAGCCCTGTTTTCATTTCTTACTTGAGAGCCACTTATCCATGTAAGTTATTGTTGCTGGTTTTGTAAAGGCTGAGTTAGGTCCAACCACAATTCTTAAGTATTATCACTTCTGTTCGAGATCTTATTAGATTTATTATCTTTTTACCAATAGATTGTGTGTTCCTATTTTTAAAGTCTTTCACAGGCTTTCTTTTGCAACCAATGTTTTAACATTTGAACACCTTGACTTGTGCTACTGATCATGTGCATAGACCTATAATATGGTCTGAAATCCTGTCTGTATGAGTAGTGTTTTCTTTGGGTTAGAAGCTAATGACTTATAACTAACCCTTTACCGAAACTACAAACTTTCACACAAAGCTGGACCATTGGATCACTGAAAAATGCCCAAAAAATCCATCAAATTCAAAAACCACTGAGAAGCAGGATGAATGTTTCCTTTCACTCTATGTTCATCCAACTCCCAGCCTCCAGTTTTTCTTCTTCTACAATATCATTGCAGTTTTGCTTATTCAGCAATATCACCAAGTTATGCATTATTAGACTGAAACACCACCTTATATTGGTTCTTTCAAATCAACCGAATACAGTAAAACCAAACAATCATAAATCTGTGTTTGAAAACCCTTCTACACGGGGCCTTTTCTGCAATTCTAATACAAATTAGTGTGCATCATTATATAATGAAGTCTACAATCCTGTATGAGTATGTGTAATATTTAGATTTGATAATTAAAATTAAAACTCATCATCTTCACTAAATGAAGATCAACTGCCACTAGGTAAATGTTAATCCAAACAAACTATTTAAGACTTTTTTTTTATCCATTACAATGTTATTATCCTTATAAATAAGTTGTGCAGGTGGGAGAGACCAAAACTTACAAGTTACCACAAATATATAACATACGTTACACCTACTTTCCGCGTTATAAAATATATCAATGTTATTTATGTTTAGGGTCAACATATATAATATTTTATGCAAATTCTACTTATTTTGAAATTTGTTTAGCTTTTCTTTGTCAACTTTATATTCGTTACATGGATCAAGCTTTATATTTACCTCAGCCTATGGGTTTTGCAGGATGTTGAAATTGATGAAGAGGTGGATGTTATAATTTCAGAATGGATGGGCTATATGCTTCTATATGAGGTGCATATTAGAATACGTTTGATTTTTCGTAGTAGATATATATTTTGACTTTTGAGAAGTTAAAACAAGATATCATGTAATCGGTGAATGAGATCATAAATTAACTTCTGAGGGGACTGATAGTTTAATAACTCAAATGGATTGGAATTGAACATAAGTATCTTTTATCATTGTCAGACAGATGGATGTGGAAAGACTTACAATTTTGCTGTGTACAAATAAAACAAAAAAGTGATTTCTCATATCCTTATTACCGGCCTCCTTATCATATTGCAACTGTAGCTCCTATATGTGTTCTGATGATTGAGTTGACAAAGATAAAGAGAACTTTGTCACGAGTCCTAGGTTGAGGAGTCTCACCTAAAAAGGAAGGCTTATAACTCCAGGGGCTTTCCCACCTAATAGACTACTACCTCCGTCCCTAAATACAAGACCCCGTTGTGAAAAACACGAGAATTAATAAAGTTGGTTAGAGTATTAAATTTATTGACTATTTTGTATAATTTTACAAGTTTATCCTTAGGAGAGAGAAATAGTTAATGTGTATGTAACTGTATTTATTACATAGTGCAGAAAAAGATGAAGGTAGTAGTATAAAAAGGGTATTATAAAAAGGGTATTATAAAAAGGGACAAGAAAAAAACTCAACAGGGTCTTATAATTAGGGACGGAGGTAGTAGTATTTTGGATTGTAACTCCATGAGTTCCACCTCAGGTAGTCTCACTTGAAAAGTGAAGCTAATGATAAGCCTAGGGGCCCTCCTATCATATATACTAATCTTTTGAGTTGTGCTATGATAGAGACTAGGGTATTATGGATTGCCAATTCCTACATTGAGTAGTAAGAGATGCTCAGTGGAGTATTTAAGTGAGTTGGTTCTTCCCCCTTGATAGCTAGCTTTTATACGAGAGTTCCTTAAGTGCTTGGATACTTATCAATTGGTACTAGAACCTAGCTAACTGGAAAGGCTGTGTAAAGTGTCTTAGAGCGTAGTTGCCGGGACAACCACTCTCAAGGCGTATCTATGTTAGAGACTTGGGTAGGTATTATAGGGCGTCCATGTCCCACATCAATTAGTATGGGATGCTTGGTGTATTGTTTGTGACTTGGCTCTTCCCCCATGATAACTAGCTTTTAAAAGAGGGGTCCCACTAGTGCTTAGATATCCAGGACGTGTGACTCAAAACTAATTAGTACTTAAATTCATATAAAAACATTAAAGGCGTATTATCTCTATTGTTACCATCTAAAGATATGTTAAAGCAGCTATTGAAGTTTGTAATTCATTTAGAACTATCCTTTTTTTGGGAGGAGGAACCAAAATGACAAACAAAATCTAGAACTTGTGTTTTTTCTATTATTTTTGTTTTCCTTTTACACTTACAATAGGATTGGGGAAGGGTGTTTGTGACTACTTCACTTCAATATGGGTATGCTCGTCTAAAATGATACTCAGATGTCAGCTTGCTTTGGCTTTCTCTTTCCCATCCTTTCAGTTCATTAACTTTCATAATTTATATTGGTTTGATATTTTTCTTTCTTGCAGAGCATGCTTGGGAGCGTTATTACTGCCAGAGATCGCTGGCTCAAACCTGGTGGTCTTATTCTTCCTTCGAGTGCATCGGTATTTCTATTTACTCTTACTAATAAGTAGATATATAGTTTGTCGTTTATAGTATTGTGAATACGTTTTCCAGAAGGTTATTTTGTCTGGTTCAATCTCAGCCTAATAAGGATTCATATAACTAATGGGAATTATGGTTACTAATACTTGAAGCTTAGAGTTGCTAGAATGTAGTCGGGAACTCAGTGATTAATGGATTCAGTTTATCTTGCACACAATATTACAATAATGCTGAGCTTTTGGTGTCTTGCCCAAAAAATGAAAAAGGTGCTGACCTGTTGTTGTACTTTTCTCCAGTTGTACATAGCTCCTGTCACACATACGGACAGATACAGTGACAGCGTCGACTTTTGGCGCAATGTTTATGGAATTGACAGTAAGTGCACTGCATAGCAACTTAGATGTCATCCTGGACTATAAATAAGATTTCAAAATCTGTTATTGTTCGTCGTATATAGACATTTGCTGAAGCCGGATTTACTTATTTACTATTCTTTCGGCATTCTGCTATTTTCTGCAATCTGCTATTGATGACACTGATTTGAATGTTTCACACATCAGATCCTGTGTTAGCCGCATTAAAATGTCAGTAATTAGTGTTTTTGACACCCTATGGATGCATGAACCTTAGTCAAATATCCATGCACACAGTTTGTCCTATTTCAATACTTTGTTTTTGGCTAGTGAAATAATAAATCTAGTTTCTTAGAAATTTCAAATGTTGAATCCTGTATGTTGGAGATCCCATATTTAGTAGTGATATGGATGCGATAGTGGTTATAACTTATAAGCGGGTGGAATTCCTCACCCCATAAACTAGCTTTTGGTAGTTTGGCTTAACCATAAACTCCTATGTTAGGGCCAACCCTCTCATCACAATCCAGCTTTTGGGTTTAAGTTGGACCAAAGTTCAAATTCTAAGACTATCTTCCAAGTTTGTTCTTTGAAAATTTAGTGAGGTATTTATACACTAGGTTAGAATAGTCTGCAAATAAATAATTTCCTATCGATTGCTTTCCTTATCAGTTCTTACTACTGCTTTTGGTTGCAGTGTCTGCCATGTTATCATTAGCAAAACAATGTGCATTTGAGGAACCTTCTGTGGAGACAATAACTGGTGAAAATATTTTGACATGGCCACATATGGTACGTATGTTAGTGTTGTTGTCACTGTTTTCTCTGACTTCTCTTCACTATTATCGAATTCTTAATTACATGCTTGCCAAGGTTATACATGTACTATATTTTTCATTCTTGAGTTATGTTTGAAGAAAGGTTGGTTAACTTCAAGCTGTGAATGATGGTTTTCCATTGTACAATGTACAATATATGCATATATGCAAAAACATTTTGGATATTTCACAAAATGATGGGAAGCTCACTCAGCAAGTCATCTAGGGTTTCTTCTAGGACTGTTATAAAAAACAAAACCGAACTGCAAAACCGAGCTAAACTGTACTACGGAGAACCAAACTGTATTGATAAACTGAACTGGTGTTTAAAACACAGTTCACTAACTGAACTGCACCACAAAGAACTGAACTGCACCGTCATCAAGTATCTGAACCGTTGCTACTCTAACGTATTTTCCAATTACTTCTCTCGTACTTGCATTTTGTTTTGTGAACTCTCTTATGGAAGAATTTATTCTTCAGGTTCACAACACAGGATCATATCTCTCACTTGCAATTTTCAAATTGTCACTCTTTGCATTCAATCATTGTTTGCTAGCAAGAACCCTAAATCAGAAATCCCTATTTTCTTGGAGATTAGGGATATAAATGTCCTGGAGTAAGCTATGCAGGGATAATTTCATGTCAAGAGAACTCACAGACTAGAATTAGCTTTGTTGATTGGACTGAATGGATTGTATATTGTTCATTGATTTTTCCAACAATAGGTTTAATTTCTTGTGTGGTAAAATTTCCTTGTTTATATTGTATTTTAACCAAGAACCTTGCTATAAGCACGTACACATCACATTTTTGTTTCTGACGGGGTTTTATTTTTTCTATTTAAAGCTTGCATCTTGTGTAATGATTGGAGCTCTTTGAAAGTGCCATCAGTTTTCAAAATTTTGCTCAGTAAAAAAAATCAGTTTTGCTTAGAAGCTTCAACACAGTTTGGTTCAGTTTTGCAAATATAGGCAGTTTACTGCTTTAATCTCAAAAGCGGTTCGATTCCGAAATATAAAAATTCGGTGAACTGAACAAAAACACTGTTTGGTCAAGTTCATTTCAGTTCATGCTAACTATTTTTCCAGTTCATTTCAGTTTGGTTCTGTTTTCCTTCTGAACCAAATCATAAACGTGACTTGTTTCTTTCCCGGTACTCTAATATAGGATTGGCAGGTGTTGTGGAATAACAACAATATGAAGCCATGTGGCAGAGCCAGGGTCTTGCATTTGTGCTGTTTAATGCTTAGGGTTTTTAAGTGTTTCACTGTTGGTGATGGTTGTTAAAAGAGAATTAGCTGCTTCTATATGATACAATGGCCAAACATTTTTTTTTTCACTTTGTAAACTATATTGTTGAAGATCCCACATTGACTACTGGTTATAATGTCACCCACAGGCTTGCTTTACGAGTTGAGTTAGATCTAAGCCCAAAATTCTAATATAGTATTTGACTCTATCATAGACATGTTGGGCCACTCATTATCAGGGAACCACCAGATGTCTAGTATTTCAAGTTCTTTCTCCAGAAATGGGTCATGGGCGTGAGAGTATGTTGGAGATTCCAATTGACTGGTGATATAGCCAGATAATTGTTGTAAGTGGGGGCAACCGTTGCCCCATGAGCTGGTTTTTGGGGTTGGGTTAGCCCAATATGGCCCATCTCCTGATCTGATATCAGAAAGATATTTGAACCAGCATGGTTCAAATGTTTAGAAATTACAGATACTGAAATCTAAATGACTTAATTGTAAGAAAATAGAAGTAATGCACATGTTTCTTCCTCCCAACCATGGAATCATGGAAGTCAAGATAGCAAACGGGTGTGTAAGATTATACGCACAACCCTACAAGGTTTTTGCTCCTCCTAGATTCCAATCAGGTGCAGAATCATAATTATGCATGATTGGGCAGGAATGTCGGGAAAAGTGTGGGATTCATCATGTTTTTGATCCTGGTGTTTTTTTTATTTTTAGGTTTCTTTTATAAAAAAATGTATGTTGTGTGCACAACCTGGTTTTTAACCATCACAATCCATCTTCTATTTCGGATGTCATTTTACTTCACCCTCTCCTCTCTGACCCCAAGCAGCAAGATGCATTGACCCCAGCACTTGTTATTTTCAGGCCATTTCTGCTGCTCCCTAGACCTTCCTTACACGTGCCCAAAGTCCTTGCCACTGATGTCTAGTCAGTCTCAGGTTCAACCTTTTGATCCCAAACCTTCTGCTTTCTATATTATTTTTGAATGCTTTGCACCTCCTTCGCTAATCCCAGTCTTGACAGATTTTGCTTGTTGATGGTTGCTCTCAACTGTTGATTTGGGGACTGGATGCTCTTTGGTTCGTTTATGAAATTTATTTGGGCCCCCGTGTCGCCGGTCTAATTTTACACTTTTAATTTGTGAACCGACCTATTCCTTGTTGTATCTTTTTTTTCTTTACATACTTATATTTTTATAGAGGATGGGGAATGTTTATTTATTTAGCTATACATTCCTCAGTAGGGATTCAAATTCAGTCCAAGTTAGAAAGCTAGGAGCACTGCACTGGAACGAACTCACTGGATAATCTGATAGAACAATCAAATAAGATAAAGATTATTGAATGGTAAAGATGAGTTAAGAGGCTCTACAACTAAGAAATAGCAAATGAAAGGATAAACTAGAGTCAAAGACTCCCAACTAGAGTTCTATTGTTCCTGACCAATAAGAAACTCTCCTAACAACTTTGACAGTAATCCTGCACGCCCCTTCCCTACTCACAATATATTCCCATCCTCTAACAAATTCTCCTAGAATCTATCTCCATGTCACCAACTAAATTTCATTTCTCCCTCATGGCCCACTTCTAAAATATTCCTAGGTGCTCTATCATAATCACTTGCAACTATAAATAAATATTAAACTTATTAATAAAATAACTTTAAAAAATTATCTACATTGTTATTTGAATTTTATTTATACTATTATCTATTAATTATCTAGATTATCATACTCTTATATTCAAAATATAAGTTTAATACTTTTTGGACGATCTTTTGATCCACCCAATTTACAGTCGGTGGTCCCCTTCCCAATCATGGGTAGGATCTTGATTTTAACTATCTTGCTCCCAACTGTTTCCCCACAAGTGTTTCTTATGAGGTTTTGATTCCAACAAGTGTTTTTTTTGTTGTTATTTTCACTTCAATATTCTTATAGTTGCCGTGATTCTTATGAAGTTTTGATTCCCTTTCCCCCCTTCCATGGTATTTATTTAGTGACTGGGGAGTTTCACAAAAGGCAGTATCTACACAAAATATCCTATTTAGTACATTGGGATCTGTCTATATACAAGCTTGTTTGTTTCTGTGCGGAGTTCTTAAAATTTTCCTTTGATGTAGTATTATCAGTATGAATTTTGAAGAAATTGGTCATTTACTATTGCAGATTAAATATATTGATTGCTATTCCGTTACCATCAATGAGTTAGAAACCGTAACATCGAAGTTTAAGTTCAACTCAATGATGCGAGGTAACATACTTTTGTCTGTCATTTCTTTCCGTTGATTTGTGGATTTTTGAATATATTTCTTTGCTGCTAATCTATGATGCACAGATACTATATGTATGTGGTATGGCGATATGCTATTTCTTAGAAAATATAGAATACAATATGTTTGCTTGGGGTTGGCACAATGCTTGGTTGTCAAATTACTAGTGTTAATTGAATTGTCTTTCTTGTTTATACAGCTCCACTGCATGGTTTTGCATTTTGGTTTGATGTTGAGTTCAGTGTGCCTACGGTAGAGTCATCAACATCAGTTATCGAGAATAATCAAGTGAACGGTAGTTTGAGAAAAAGACGAACAAATCCTAGTGAAGCACTGGTCCTATCCACTGCACCTGAGGACCCTCCAACACATTGGCAGCAGGTGCAGCTTTTATCATCTTTAAGCATATATTAATAAAAAATGCCCAACATATGTCAACTGATTGCATTTAGGATACAATTCTGATTAAGTTTTACAGTTGGATATCACCTATATGCTGGTGCCATACTATTGCAGCTAGAATCGTGGCACCTTGCTGAAAATTGCATCTCATTAATGATACTTTAATTATCTTGATTTTGTTAATGTATCTGCAGACATTGATATATTTCTACGATCCTATTGAGCTGGAACAAGATCAATTAATTGAAGGTTTAGTAACATTGACACAAAGCAAAGAAAATGCTCGATTTATGAATATTCACCTTGAGTATACGTGAGTAAAATATTCTTTCCCCATAGTAGCCCTTTAAAGTCATTTGCTATGGATTCTGACATCATTCGTGTGCATTGCAGATCAGGTAATCGATCGTATGTGAAAGAGTCTGTTATGAGATGATCTCTCAATATGGGGCTGTTGCATATATTTCTATGCTGACTTTGTTTCTCCAACAGAGATACGATAATTGCTTGGGTCACAAAAACCACTAATCCTAGCTTGCGAGATTAAAAAATGCTACTGAAGGACTTGTTAGCACATGTAGTTAGGTTAATCAAATGAAATTTTGTTGTAATTCATTGGTATTAAATTATACAGGAGTGGTTGAGTTATGTCATAATTTATTTACTATTGTAATTTTTTTAAGCTTCACTTTGGGGCTGTCATTCCGGTTGAAAAACTACAGCGTTGCTGGAATATGTTGAGCGATTTTTTAATAACATTCTTATCAGTTTATCTGAAATCAAGTGGTTCTTATTTTCCTTGGGGAGTGCACTCCTATTCTATTTGAAGACTCTTTTGGAAAATATGCAAGTTGTTGTCATATTTATTTAAATCATTTTAATTTAATATAAAACAATAGTTTGATTAAATTATATGTAATCTAAATCAATAGTTTGATTAAATTGTATGTAATCTAATTAATTGTTAATTTTATTAAAATTATATTTAATCATAGAGGGTACTCGCTGTGGTATTTTCTGATTTGAATGATTAGGCTAAAATTGTGTATAGAAGAAGGTATTTGAGTTTTGAGTGTTTCAAAAAAGTTTAACTGCTTGATAAATGGACTGTTTAGATAATGCCACGTGCATTCAACTCGCCACTCTTCAGTTATACCCTACATTTAGAGTAGTTTAATGGTTATATTCTTCATTTAAAATTTTCAAAATATATGCCAGCTCCTATCGGAAATTTGAAGTATTTACGAGCAATTTGTGAAATTATATTCTTTTATTGAAATAAAGATAAAAGTACCGGCAATTTAGAGTTTTTTTTAATATACATATTAGAACTTCTGGAATTTTCGATGAAGATATGTGCTATTTTACTGAAATTATGAATTTTTCAATATTTACTACACATTTCTAGAAATTGTGAATTTTTTTGATATTTATCACAATTCCGAAAATTTAAAATTTTCTGTATACAATGAGGTAAAATTTTCATTTTTTTTGCATTAATTTTTTTAGAATAATTGATTTGATTAAAAAACTATCAGATTAAATGTATACCTATGATAAAATCTTTGCTACATCCAAAAATACAAAGCAAATTCAGATGATTTTCTAACTTCGTCTTCATAGTGCCTAATAAGTCTGACATATGCTGATTTCCATGCCTTTGTATATTTAATACAATTTTGTCTCCAACGGTTAGTGATGGGAGAGAATGGACAATGAGGTTTCAACTTTACCTGAATCTAATGATTGTTGTTGACAAAGCCAACAACAATGCTTTTATGTCTACTCGTATACATAGGTCGAGTTAAAGCAAGAGGGAAAATGTGATGTTAAGTCTCTTGGACAGGGAGACAAATACTATCTGTATCTACAAGCAATAAAGTATCTTATATCAAGAATCGTCATCTATTTATCAATATCTTGCACACATAATATTCTATTTCTAACACATTCCTAACTGTAGAGGCTGTGTCATAAAACAAATTGGAAAACAATTTAGGGTGTTGATGAACTTAAATATTAATTGCGTCCGAATCAAAGATCATGACTCTTCGCCCCATCCAAGTAAAGCTGCAATAGTCTGAAAATCACAATTTCCATCGTCATACACATCAAAAATGTCATAAATATATGGATATAAGAAATCAAGAAACTGAGACAAGTCAACATCTCTTGAACATGCGGCTGATGATTGACTTCTAGACAACTTACTTGACGGTTAACTTCCAGTTTGTTTTGTGCATGATCTCTTTGTAGTTTGACTCTCCTGCGAGCCTTCAACATACTCCACTATGAAGGATCACGATGAACATCACTCTCTTGACCCTTTCAAATTTTTTTAACTCTCTTTTTTGATTTGTACTTCACCGGTGGTGGACACATAAAAGTTGTGGATGAATGTGTTAGTTCCCAAACTTTTTTCTTCAACAGCCTCTGACATATAATATCCAAAGTACTGAAATATGTCTTCAACTCTTCACACTCTGCTTCTAAATCCAACAATGTTCTACTTTCTTCATGACTGATCTCATGCTCTTCGATGTGTAATTTCTTCCAAAATACATGAATTGGTTCTAAATGAACAAGATTTTCTTGCATTTGGAAACCAACAAGTTGACACACACACGATAACCCATGTGTTGTTCTAATGAAGCAACCACACGCATTTTGGCTTGCACCAATAAATTTTACCCTTTTTAGTTCCTTTCCAACGTGCTATATACACTGTTTTGAAATAAAAACGTGCAAGTTGGCATAAAATGGAGTGTTATACCGATGCTCAATGTTGGCAATACTTTTTTGAAGCGAAACTCAGATTAAGCCTAGCTGCAACTTCAACATGGTGTTCACAGCATCTCAACTTTGACATAAATCTTCCTGACTTATAATCAACATGTTTTTTAGTCTCCAATGAGCTGATTCCACCAAAAAACCATAAATAAAAATATATGTTAAATTATGTTTAGTAATGCAATAATATCAACATGATGTCCGCGTACCTATTCTTTTTTTTTACCATATTCCTAAATGAGTGACTCTGTTAGTCCAAGCAGCAACAAGTCTTTCTTTATAAGGTGTCAACCATGTTTCACTCACATGCTTAACAAATAAAGGAATATCATCACAATCAGTCTCAAAGTGCTTCAAGTGTTTGACAAACTCATTTTCTCTATTAAAATACATGATATTGTTCCATATATCCATAACATGTTCGTTTCTTTATGATTTAACACACTCTTTACATTTCATACTAACCTTTTTTGAAATATGAAACTAACACAACATATGAGTTAAATTTGGGAACACAACTTCTGTAACACCCTTCTACCTCACCATATACTCACGAATAAAATAACTAATTAAAAATAAATAAATCAGAGTAAATCACAACAAGGGTGCCACATATCGTCATAAAATATCTAAATAGCATCCTGCTCCGTAACACGAGTTCTTTCACCAAAAAAATTCAAACAAAACTAGTATGCAGCAGAAATTATAATCTTAAGCAATTAAATCCAAAACGTCAAATAGTAAAAATCACATTGACATCATGCCTATAAAAACTAGAACATAAAAGTTCAACTCAAGGACGTCCCGACCTGATGTTACATATCAGAGCAAGACACCTTCTAAATTCAACGAAAATAAAACTAAATAACTCCAAAAGCTAAATCTTCACGCACCAAGAGAGCTAATCCTGATCACCTGCACGTTACTCACGTGGAGGAAACATTCAAATTGACAGGGTGAGTAATCCCGAATCATTATACGAGATATAAAGAAAAAGATATACAAGTACAACAATATCAACAGTTCATTTACGCCGTCACAGTATCGTAAAAAATAATGATCATCATTAAGTCATCATCGTCGTACATCACTTAAAATCACGTCACCAATAATGTCGTTTATTCAAAAATATGCAATGCCACATAGTATGAAATGCAACAACATAGACTCATGTATGTGGTACCAATTTATTTGATGGACACTAGGCCATCACCCTCCAAAGATCCCCACCATATGATGATTCCCCCTTGGAACCGGAACACGTCCCAAACACTTCAATCCACACAATGAGATTCAAGCCACCACTGGACTGAAGTCCTAACATCGTCACAAGACCGAAGTCCTAAATTATGTTATGAATGCATGATGCAAAACGTCATAATAATCACCATCATAGGATCGTCAAAGTTGCATCATCATTCATGAGAATTCATCAAAACATCATAGTATAACTTCAATCACATACGCACAATTCATCATAATACTTCACAATTCATCATGTTATAATCATTAAAACACAACACTTCAATTGCCCTACAATACAAGGTCAACAAAGAAATAAGACAACACGAAGAATAAAATAGAAAAACATCTGCTCCTGCTCGCCTGGTGCTCGCCCGACGAAGCAGGGGCGAAATCCCTCCCTCATACAAAATTCCAGTAGCACTTGTTTTTCACCCTTCGCTCGCTTCTTATTTCGCTCGACGACCTCCAAGCGAGTACGCTTTGCCCGATGAAACAGTTCCCTCGCCCGACGATTTATGCGAAACAACAATTCTGCTGTTACATTTTCTGCATAACTTAGACCCTAAACTTCTTGCAATTTCAATACCATACAGTCCAAAAATGCACATCAATCACAAGACAATCATAATACAACAACAATACATTATAATAGACAACATATACATCATTTCCTATCATTTTACACATCCCCAAATCACCAATCTCATTATAATTCGTCATATTATCATCATATCCCCCCAAAATCCCCTAAAACCCCAACTACCTACATACCTCTAAATCTATATCAAATACAATGGTAAGCAATAATCTTCATATCTTAGAATTCTCAGTTCTGATCTTCATCTTGAGTTCTTCAGAGTATCTCTGAGCCCTAGTCTCTTCCTCCTTCTTTCCTCAGAGTGCTCTCCAAAACACGATCGTTCCAAAAGTGAAAATATCAAATCCCTCCTTTTCTTTTGTCAAACATGCCCTTAGGACCTTTATTATGATTTTCCCATCTTACCCTCACTTATTCCCTTACAAAAGACCACCTTACCTTTAGTGTTCCACTCCCTTTTATTTTAATTAACAATAATAATTTAAATAATATTATTCATATTATTTTATTATTATTAACACTAAAATAATTCCAATTAATCACTTATTTTCTAAATACTCATTATTCCCTTAGCTTGTTAATATCCCACAACACAAAAAACAAATATACCATGCTTCATAATATTTCATCAAAATTCTCCGAAAATCACAAATAATTATAATAAATCAATTAAATAAATATTATAATTATTTTGGGGTGTTACAAATCTCCCCCACTTAAAGAACTTTCGTCCTCAAAAATTACCTGAAGGAAACAGAGTCGAATACGACGCCCTCATCTGATCTTCACGCTCCCAAGTCCAA